GTTCTCAGCTATTATTTCTTCAAGTACCCCTTCAGCACCTTTCCCTCTCTCTTCCTCCTCTGGGATACCAATGATGCGTATATTATTTCTTTTTAGTGTATCACTTAGTTCTCTAATTTTCCCCTCATACTCCTGGATTTTTTTATCTCTCTTTTTCTCAGCTTCCTCTTTTTCCATAACTTTATCTTCTAGTTCACCTATTCTCTCCTCTGCCTCTTCAATCCGAGCTGTGGTGGTTTCCATTTTGTTATGCGTTTCATTTAAAGCGTTTTTCAGCTCCTCGTGACTGTTCCTTAGTCCCTTGATCTCTGTAGCAAGAGATTCTCTGCTGTCAGCTATACTGTTTTCAAGCCCAGCGATTAATTTTATGACTATTATTCTAAATTCACTTTCTGTTATATTATTTAAATCCTTTTTGATCAGCTCATTAGCTGTTGTTATTTCCTGGAGATTCTTCTGAGGGGAATTCTTCCGCTTGGTCATTTTGGATAGTCCCTGGCGTGGTGAGGACCTGCAGGGCACTTCCCCTGTGCTGTGGTGTATAACTGGAGTTGGTGGGCGGAGCCGCAGTCAGACCTGATGTCTGCCCCCAGCCCACCGCTGGAGCCACAGTCAGACTGGTGCGTGCCTTCTCTTCCCCTCTCCTAGGGGCGGGATTCACTGTGGGGTGGGGTGGCCTGTCTGGGCTACTTGCACACTGCCAGGCTTGTGATGCTGGGGATCTGGCGTCTTAGCTGGGGTGGGTAGGCAAGGTGCACAGGGGCAGGAGGGGCAGGCTTAGCTTGCTTCTCCTTAGGTGATCCACTTCAGGAGGGGCCCTGTGGCAGCAGCAGGGAGTCAGATCCGGTGCCGGAGGTTTGGCTCCGCAGAAGCGCAGAGTTGGGTGTTTGCGCTGAGCGAGCAAGTTCCCTGGCAGGAACTGGTTCTCTTTGGGATTTTGGCTGGGGGATGGGCGGGGAAGATGGCGCTGGCGAGCGCCTTTGTTCCCCACCAAACTGGGCTCTGTCTTCCGGGGGCTCAGCAGCTTTCCTTCCCTTTGTCCTCCAGCCTTCCCGCTTTCTGAGCAGAGCTGTTAACTTATGACCTCCCAGACGCTAAGTTGTGCTTGCTGTCGGAACACAGTCCATCAGGCCCCTCGGCTTTTTGCAAGCCAGACTTGGGGGCTCTGCTTTGCTGGCGAGCCGCCCCTCCGCCCCGGCTCCCTCCCGCCAGTCCGTGGAGCGCGCACCGCCTCGCCGCCCTTCCTACCCTCTTCCGTGGGCCTCTCGTCTGCACTTGGCTCCGGCGACTCCGTTCTGCTAATCCTCTGGTGGTTTTCTGGGTTATTTAGGCAGGTGTAGGTGGAATCTAAGTGATCAGCAGGACGCGCGGTGAGCCCAGCGTCCTCCTACGCCGCCATCTTCCCGAGAGTCCAGTTTTTTTTTTTTCTTTTTAAAATTAAGACTTTATTTTTTATTTTTATTTTTTTGAAGTATTTTTTATATTAAATATAATTTACTATCAAATTGGTTTCCATACAACACCCAGTGCACATCTCAACAGGTGCCCTCCTCAATACCCATCACCCACTTTCCCCTCTCCCCCACCTGCCATCAACCCTCAGTTTGTTCTCAGTATTTAAGAGTCTCTTATGCTTTTCCCCCCTCCCTCTCTATAACTGTTGTTTCAGTTTTTAATTTATTGTTCTACCCAATAAATTAATATCATAACTCACTATAGATCAGGGCATGTTTTTTAATTAACAAAAGGGAACTGGAAATACTACAGTGCCTTGCACATAGAAAGGGCAAACTTTTCAAAATTTGTTTTTCTCCCTCCCTTTCTCCCTAATTCTTTCCCTTTCTCTCCCTCCCTCTCTCTGTTCCTCTTTCCCTTCTTGTTTCCTTCCTTCCTAATTCTAAATAATTCAGTTCAAAAGGCATTGGATGAGGCTAAACATCAGGGTAAGTTGTTTACTTGATGAGATATACAGCAGTCCAGAAGGCCCTTCAAGATGTTGTTCAAGTTGCCCAGTGACATCACAACATGCTTAAAATGACCATGGTCACATCTAGAGGGTATCCCTTCCTGGATACAAAGGAGATCAGAGGTCTATGTATCCTAGAAATCTAATTTTATCAGCAGGTCATAACCCCAAGAGTTGATCCAGGAAATATGGAGTCAATGAAGACAAACAGTAACCACTTGAGACTACAGCAAATCCCCTGTTTTTCTTCATGTAGAGCCCTTAGGTTCCTGCAAGAATAATGAAGGCCTGATGAACCCCTGCAATAAGCTAGAGAGGCTTAGTCTGTAGCCATGACCAAGATATTACACTTGCTTAGTTTAGGACTTGGGCATAAAATAGATTGCATGTCATTCTCACAGTGTAGGCAGGCAAAGCTCTTCTGCTTCCATGTCTGAAAACACTTTCTTCCCAGGTAACACTTTTTCTGTAATCTCAGACAGCAGAGGATCAGGCAGTGTAAGAGGGGAGTAGGCAAAAGTACAAAGTAGGACTTGGGAGCTTCAGTTAATGATTGGGTTCCTAGTCAGGTAAGGCCAAACCAGGAAGAAAGTACACAGTGAATAATGAATGAACAGCATCTCTGCATGCTGTCTTATACATGGCTTGATAAAAGTGTTCATCCTTATCAGAGCCCACCCTCCTTTTAAGGAAAGTTGCAGTCATGTCCGCTAACATGGGGCCTTAGGTTAGGTGAGGAGCTAGAGCAAATGGACTAGAGTTTGTTCTTCACAAATGCTTTGAAACTCAAAGTGATCATTGTCTCATTTTGTAGTCTAGATTCTGTTCCCTGGATTCCCACTGGGATGTAGATAGGCAGCCTTGTGATTGCAGATCTGATGTGCCTTGAAGATATTCAGAGTGGGGGAGCAGTGTTTATATAGCCCATGCATAGTCACTCCTTCTGTTATCAGTAGATGAAAAGTCTGTCCACCAGCAGCAGTTTTCCCTTTTCCCTCACAGAGGCATAGAAAGAAGGCAGTCAACAAAAATGTCCATGAATATGTTGATCGAGCCGCCATGTTTCCAGGAAAAAACAAAAGTTTCAGAAGCTAGGCCATAGGGAATGAAGGCCCTGAACTCTACTCCTAGGCAGAAAATGTGTCTTCAAAGTTCTAGCCAGTTATTCCAAACATTTTAGAGCCAAAGTCCCTAGGCAAGACAAAAGCATTTGGGCTGAAAATAAAATCCAATTGGTAATCTGGTTGAAATGGTCAGTGGGTTTAAAATCACTATTTTTGGGGCGCCTGGGTGGCGCAGTCGGTTGAGCGTCCGACTTCGGCCAGGTCGCGATCTCGCGGTCCGTGGGTTCGAGCCCCGCGTCGGGCTCTGGGCTGATGGCTCAGAACCTGGAGCCTGTTTCCGATTCTGTGTCTCCCTCTCTCTCTGCCCCTCGCCCGTTAATGCTCTGTCTCTCTCTGTCCCAAAAATAAATAAACGTTGGGGAAAAAAATTTTTTTTTAAAAATCACTATTTTTTTCTTTTCTTCTTCTTTTTCTTTTCTTCTAAATCACTATTTTTTTCCACATACAATTTTAGACCAGAGTAGGTTCTGTTTATGTATCTTTTTGTATATCTTTAAGCAAACTGATCGGTTTTTTACAATTTTCTTTTTTTCTTTATAAAATATATGTTTCATGTTCAGCCAACTATTCTTGCCATGCTGTTTGTGATAACAGTAAGTCCAAGGTAACCTAAATGTGATTGATTAAAAATACTTTGACATATCCAGAAAATTGGATATTTTAAAACCTTTAAAAATAATATGGAAATGTATTTGTTGACATGTAAATGTGTTCATGATATGCAGTAATGTAAAAAAACAAAATACAAAACAGTATTATGATGTAATTCCAGTTTATTTTCCCAAGACAGTTGTTGACATTATTATTAATGGAGCCCCCTTTTACTCTCAAGTGTCCTAATTAGGATGATAATTGTATGTGCCAGCTTCAAGGGCAACACTCCTTCAGCTTTTATATATACATTCCCTATGGTTGGAAGACCAAGACTAGTAAGTGACTCACATTTGAGAAACCTAAAGCAGTCTAAGGCCCAAGAACAGCTAACTAATGAAATGGCTTTTGTAGGTGAGCCAGAAAAACTGTTGAGTTAGGATCTGTCTGTACTATCCAAGTTTGTTAGAACAAGGTATCGTGAGTGTTATGAGTCAGGCAACATGATCTTGGATCTTGTCCAATAGGATTCACGCTGTAGGGCTGGTCTGAAGGGACTATCCAAACTAGAGCTTTATCTGTCTAGATCATGGAAATGAGAGGAGAGGTCCAGCTAAAACCTCCCAAGAATCATAAAAGTTCCCAAAGTGAGTCCTATTTAGCTTTCTGCAAGCTGAGAATGTGAAGCCACTCAATTATATAAAAATTGGCCTTTCTCTTAATCCCTCCCTCCACATGACTCCTACCCTCCAACTCTTGTTAGAAGGGAACTAAACAACACTTAGTAAGTGAAGGAAGAAGTGGCCAGGGAAATAGTTAAGTGGGGAAAGAAATGAGAGAGTAGTCAGGGAAAAATCTAGCAGGAAGAAAGTAGGGCAGGGGAAGAGACAGGCAGTGGGAGGAAAGGAAGAATATGACTCTATAACAGCCCAGGGGAAGAGAAAGGGATTAATTTTGGAACTTTGATTATTAAACACATGATTAAATTTTTAATTGAATTGAATAGAGACTGTTTGAATGTAACAGGAGTATCTGTTATCTAAGAATGAGGGGAGAAGCCATGGAACCTCCCCAAATCTTCATCTGGAAGCAGAATAAGAATACCCCCACTAAATTAAGTTCAAAGAAGTGGTAGGAGGCTGAAATGAAATTTTGTTTGTATCACAATTCATATGACTTACATTTATATTTGTATGAACATAGGGAAAAAATCTGGCAAGACAGCCTCCAACAGCTCCAAACAGCTGCCTCTACAGATTGGAATTCTTACTTTATGCATTTCTACATTATTTGAATATGTTACTAAAAGCAAGTATTCATTTTATCATTTTAAACAAAAAATTAAAATAGGAAGAAATACATACTTTTTCAATAAACAAGTAGCTGACACTACATAAGGATAATCCACAGATGAGATTTATAAGGTCTGGATCTGTCTTCTTCCAGTAGTCTTTCTTCTGATACCTCCTACCTCTGAGCACAGATCTTTCTCTGATATTTCTTACTCTCCTTTCCATTTCCTTTCAACCGTGGATACTCCTGGATGATCTTTTCTTATGATTACCACACATGTTTTAAAATTTCCCCCTGCTCACTGCTTTTTGTGATCCTTTTATAGTCTTCCCCCTTGTTACATGGCCATATTTTAAAACTTACACCACATATGCTTTGTTCACATTACTTTAAGTCTCACTTGGTAATTCATTGTGCAACGATTTCTTTTTCAAAACAGAGAAGATGGCAAAGTATTTGTATGTTCTGAATTTCTTTTAGGTGGAGAGAATAGACCTGATATCAGAAAATCAATTCCAAACCAGAATATTTCTGATGAAAATCAAAACCATGACATGATAATGGAGAGACTAACAGGAGACAGTTTCTGGTACTCCATCTTAGGAGGACTCTGGGATTTTGATTACCAATTAGAGTTTAACCAAGAAAATCAGCAGAGACATTTAGCACAAGTATCTTTCACCCACAAAAAGATCACACAGGAGAGAAGCCTTGACTGTAATAGATTTGGAGAAAACTATAATGTAAACTCAAACCTTATTATGCATCAGAGAATTCCTTCAATTAAAATACCCCTTAATTCTGACACACAAGGAAATAGCATCAAACATAATTCAGACTTGATTTACTATCAGGGAGACTATGTAAGAAAGAATCCTTATGAATATAATGAATGTGGAAAAATCTTCAATCAACATATTCTTCTTACTAATCATATTCATACTGAAGAGAAACCCAGTGAATGTGGGAAAGCCTTCAGCCACAACTCATCTCTTACTCAACCTCAGATAGTCCTTACAGGAGAGAAGCCCTATAAGTGTGATGAATGTGGGAAAAGATTCAGCCAGAGGATTCATCTTATTCAACATCAGCGAATTCACACAGGAGAAAAACCTTTTATATGCAATGAATGTGGGAAAGCCTTCCGTCAACATTCATCCTTTACTCAACATCTGAGAATTCATACTGGAGAGAAGCCCTACAAATGTAATCAATGTGGTAAAGCCTTTAGCCGTATCACATCCCTTACTGAACATCATAGACTTCATACCGGAGAGAAACCTTATGAATGTAGTTTTTGTGGGAAAGCCTTCAGCCAGAGGACACATCTTAATCAGCATGAGAGAACTCATACAGGAGAGAAACCCTATAAATGTAATGAATGTGAGAAAGCCTTCAGCCAGAGTGCACATCTTAATCAACATAGGAAGATCCATACTCGGGAGAAATTGTGTGAATATAATAAATGTGAGAAAACCTTAAGTTCCAGTCCTTCTCTTACCCAGCAGCATATAACTCACAGGGGGGAAATCATATGAATATATAAACATAGGAAAACTTTTGGTCAGATCTTTTCATCCCCTTGAATATAAAATTATTCAGAGAAGAGAAAATTTATAAATAAACTTTTAATGCATAGAAACCAAATAAATTTAGATCTTAAATTAGCATATTCCCAGGAGAGATTATAAATAGTGAAAATAATTTATTTTATAAATAAGGTAATATTGAGTCATGTTCCAAATATGATATAAAACTTTTTTTAATGATCAGAAATCCTATAGGCAATAATCTGAAATTATTCTCCTGTAACTTTTATGATATAAAGTTTTTAAAGTATGTAAACATTGATTACTTAAAGCAGTGATGTAGTATAACCAGTCACATAAACTTTAAATAAACATAAAAGCAATATTTCTCAAACCAGCCATTTGTTTCCTTTACAGTTTTTACCATATTCAGTGTTTACTTAATATTTTTCCTTAAAGGGATTCAGAATTTTTAGCATTGCCTAGGAAATATTATTTGCAGAAATTATGAGTTTTATATGCCAATTATATTTGTTCTAAAATAAATAAACATATTTATTTATCAAAATACATATATAACTTTGAAATTAAAAATATCCGCTTGATGTACTACCTAAATCTTCTGTACCTTTATTTGAAAAACAATGTGACAGGATATTGGCAGTGTTTGTTTTCATTTCAGCAACTTTTGCGTTTTCGTCAAACAACTTATAGGATCATTTTAAGAAGCATGTTGGAGGAGACTAAGGGTCATAGTGATGAACTTTGAAAATGATTCAGAGAAGTCAACTTTTCTATCCTGTTGTTCTAGTTTTAAAATTCCCTCTAGCAAACATAGACTTTTTTAATTAAAATGGATTTTTTTGTGTGTTTGAATACAGAGTTTTTTGTTGTTGTTTTGTTTTGTTTTTATATAATGACCAGGGGCTAAGAATCCCTATACTTCCCTACACAACTGTGAAAGACAAGAAGTAGAAGACTATACCAAATGTTGAGCTGTGGTGCCATGATGAAGCTGAGAACCAGGGAAGAGCCTTACTGGCTTATATAAATAACTAAGGAGGTACTAATAAATTGGCCTAAAAATTCATTTTATTTATATAAATTTATTTATGTAACACCTTTTTCCAAAAAGAATTTAAAGTAGTTAAATTTTTTTTATGAATACAGTCCTGTGTAACAGATAATCACATTTTGATGTTAAAAAGCATTATAAATGTAAACTGTCATAAGCCACAAATAAATACATTTTGGGGGCTGCTTCAGTTTCTTGGTTTTCTGTTTTTCTCTTTCCTCAGGCATGGCTTGAAGAAGCCATGAGGCTAAGGCAGAAATGTATTTCCCCTTTGCTTCCTCACCTTTTTTCTTCTAACGTAGCTCCCATCTCAAGACTTCTCTTTTTTTTCCCTCTGAAGGACTAGATTTTATAAAGTTCTTGAGTCAAAGCTGAAATGATTTAAAGACATTTAAAAATTAAAACACTAAAAGAAAGTAATAAAATGAACTCATTTCATCGGAGAAGTTAAACTTTTCAAAGTACATTTACGTCCTGTGCATCAGCAGTGTGCAACAGTTAATAAAACCATGAGTTACTATGGTCAAGGAGAATTTTTAATAACATTTTGTGCTCAGATGTCCATGTAGTAGAGATCCATTTTCAGGGTAGTTCCAAAATGAACTACATTTAACATTCATTTGCCATAAGTAGGGCACTCAGATTTCAGGAAAAGAGTGAGCCAAGGCGAAATCTCAGACAGTAGAGGTATGTATTAAAAGAAGTAATGGCTAATTACAATTGATAAGTGCTTTGATCAAAGTTTAATTTTGCAGTCGGGAAAAAAAATAAAAAGATGTATCCACAAAGAGTGTTAAAAGCTACAGTATAAGGCAGTGTATCCAACAGGTGAATTGAGAACAATGGAATTTTCAGAAGAGATTCAGTAGAACTTGGATAATCCTAGAAAAGAGGTGTCTGGACTGACATAATAAATAAGAATCATAAAAATAGAAGCTTATTAAATATTCTTTAGTGTCATAAATGATTATGCTTAGATGTACAGTAAACTAGTGATTCTGAGATGAATTTATTTTCATGTCCTTTGTTCTCTTCAAAATGTTGCAAACTAAGGAGTGAACCCTAAATATATTGATTACACCAAAATACTGGTTCTTAGAGCAGGGAAGCCAGTGGTGTAGTACTTATTCAAAGACCTGTTAGTTGTAACTTATTTCTGTCTAGGAGGGCAAGACATTATCCTTTCATGTATATTAGTTCATTTGGTCTGTCTAACCAGGTGCTAATGCCTTTCTTTTATGAAAAGAGATATTTAAGCTTAGACACAATAATAATAATTTATTATTCAGGATTTCTCACTGGAAATGTCACTAGAACATGGATCATCTACTCCTGATTCAGTGGATACCAACAGTGCCTGGAGCAGTATTTTGTAACACTTTGAAAACAATTGTTAAATATATTAAAATTAATAAAGTGAAAAGATTGCTGCTCAACATTAAAACCTGTGTGACTTTCTCAGAACTTCAGAGTGTTAAACGATCATCATGTGATAGATTCTCTTATGTCCACAGGCCTTGTGGGCTTAGAGAAATATAGTCATTACTATTTGTATTTTGATTAATGTTTAGTTTATTAGTTTAAGAAACTGAAATTCTTTAAGCATCCAACATTCCCCTAATTATTCACAGATGTGAAACTAATAAATAAAAACAAGAATGTCTAAAATTAGATATCCCCACTCTTTTTAACATGGGTTTCGGGATTAAAAACATCTAAAACTCTCATTAAATCACAAGCCTAAAATTTCAGATTGTGGTAAATATTTTAAATACCTTAAGAAACAGGTAAGACATACCTAGAATATTAATTATACCAAAACCATAAAAATGTTAGCTTCATGGATTTATTATCTTTATTTGAATGGCATTCCAGTTTTTGTCCATTTGTTGCTAGGCTTAGGTTGTCCTACCAGGTATTTGCGTACCTTTCCTGGGTTCTAGTAATCTTATCTAACCCAAAATAAGAATAATAATTTCTCAGACAAATAAATTGCAATTTACAGATTAGCAACTGGCCAACCCTTAATCAGGTCATCCATAAAACCTAGTTGCATAGACCAAACAACTTTTCTTTGTTTTTCTTTTATATCAAAATATTACTTATTATGTCATGGGGCATTTTAAGACTTTCTTCTTGTATAGATTGGAAATTTTTGACACTTTAACTTTCCCAAAACCATCTGGCCCATTGTTCTGTCTAGTTGATATAAGAATCTTATTGACTAGCATTATTTAAAGCTTTTCTATGCTTCATTAGTATAGTTAATAAGGCCCTCCACCTCCTTCCTGAAGAATCCAAGTTTTGTTATCCATTTTCCTCTGTAGAACATTTGGCTACTTCATCATTTTGCAACACATTGTTGAATCCTCTTTCTACTTGGTTATTCTATATAACCATCGGAGCTGATTAACTGTTGAACCATCTTTCTACTTGGTTGGATCATCAAGTTCTTCGTCTTCCTTGATAATGGTTCAACACACCACCCCTATGTTTGTTCTTAACCAATTAAACAGGAACAAATTATACACACACACACACACACACACACGCACACACAAATGTGTATATACAAACAGACATCTGTACATAAACACATACTTAGCAAGAAAAATTTTATATTACTCTTTAAGGTCAATAATGAATTATACATACACCATATTCAATTTTTTTACAGCTGTGTTTTAACATACTTGATTATATTAACTTTGCTCTTGAGTATCATTATGAACACTTAGACTCTTCTATACTCATGCAATCCCAATTAGCCATTGTTTTAAATGTTCAAATTGTGACTTTGACCAGTGGAAGCTTTATTAAGCTAACTTCTTTAACTCTTACCACTGTATCTGTTATCCTTAAAAGTATTCTCATTTTTGGAAGTAAGATGTTCCAAGCCCATCCTGAATTCTTTCCTTGCTCCAAGAAATGGGATTAACTTATTCCCCCACCTCCAGCCCAAAGAGTTCCAGTTTCTTTTCTTTTAGTGCAAAGTGGTACTGACCAAAATCTGGGCCCTGGAGATGTACACGACCATTAAGAGTGAGCAGAAGTCCTGCTGTTTCTACAGCTACTCCTATCAGTCACTTTTAGCAATAAAAGCTAGATAATGTCTTTTAAGACAAGGCCATGATTTCTCACAGGCTTTTCTAATTTAGTGTATATGGATGTGCCTAATTGTTTAAAACAGGATCTTTTTTATCACTGGGATGTTCACCTCCTTTGACAAAAATCATTTAAATAACTTTATTTAAAAATGATTCCAGGGGTGCCTGGGTGGCTCAGTCAGTTGAGCATCTGAGCCTTGATTTCAGCTTAGGTCATGATCCCAGGGTTGTCAGACTGAGCGAGCCCCACTCGCTCCATTTGGAATTACAAAAGAAAAGGTTCTCTCCAGTTTGTGTAGAAAGGGTATTTGGAAAGCCATATTTCAAGCACCCTGGAGTTATTACATGGAGCTGAGGTAAGGGGTAGATTTTGGAGAAAAGAGTGGGTTGATGAGTGCAATAGCAGTATAGATTTTGCTGAAGAAAAAAACAGTATTGATAAACTAACAAATGTAAAGTGCATGTTTTTGAAGAACCCTATATATGATCATGAAGGTTTAAGAAATAATTACTACTCAAAAATCGTCCCAATAAATTAACACAGTGCTCTAATTGTATGCACTAAAGACAACACACACACACACATACACACACACACACACACACACACACACACTCCAAAAGCAATCTGGAGTTATACTTAGCAAGTTTGTTGTTATTACAACTCCAAAAGTATCTAGTGTGTATTGTGGCATTTGGCAAGTCAGTCATTGATGTTGCTGGAGCGGAGACAGGGTTCTTCTCACTGTGTGGGGAAAGGAAATACAAACAAGGAATAGGGGAAGGAGAAGAAGAAACTCATTGGTGTTTAGAAGTTTGTGTTGTGTGCCTGTGTGCACATGGACTTGTGTATGTGTATTTGAATGTATAGATAGCTACAGCTTCTGAAATATACTAGAAACAAAAAAAAAGTCCAGTAGCAAGGTGCTCACCTAGACCTGCATCTTGTTTTCTAAATACCATTCCCCACTGAAACTTCTCCTAGGAGAATTTCCCAATCCAATAACTGAGGCAGAAAAAGTACAGGTAGACCCGAATGACACTTTTATGCCAGAAAGTAAGGAAATTCACAAAAACTAATGAAGGCAAGTCAGAAAGACACAGGCATCAGCTTAGCAAGGCTCCCACTGGCTAATGAATGAAATTCATTAAATATCCTATTCAAAATGAATGAAAACATTAAATTTAAAAATCCATTAGTGGGATGGGTGCCTGGGTGGCTCAGTCAGTTAAGCATCTGACTCACGATTTCAGTTCAGGTCATGATCTCATAGTTAGATCAAACCCCGAGTCAGACTCTGAGCTGACAGTGCAGAGCTTGCTTGGGATTCTCTCTCTCTCCCCCTCTCTGCCCCTCCTCCACTCATGTGGGCACACACTCTCTCTCAAAATAAATATTTTTTTAAATTCTTAAAATTTTGATTTTAAAAAGCAACATTCATTGAACCTTAAAATGAGCCAAAACTTTATAGAAAAAAAGTTAGGACATGAAAGAAGTAGTAATCTAATGTAGGAAGAACTTGATAATTTTATTGAACTGAGAATTTATAAGTTATACCAAAACTCCATAATAACGCACTTCATGATAGTCACATTTTGAATATAACGTTATTGCCAAATTGCCTACAAGATCCCTGACACTCCTACCACCCCTTCTCTTCCTCTACATCACAATAATGTGATATTGTATCTTACACAATTGTATACACACAGTTACATTTTACATAATTACAATGCTATAATTTATAGTTTATATGAAACCTATGAAGTCCAGAAATAGAAATGTTTTGGTATTTTATCAGGGCCACACATGTTGAAATTACCAAGAGCTGAGAGATGGATGGGTGGAATGCAAGGAGCTCAAATAAGACAGAAGGACAGACATGCAAGGCAGTAACAATTTGTCTCTGAGGCCCACATAGCCATGTGTAAAATGTGGTTTAAAATATTCAGTTGGACTAAAAGGTAGAGAAATTGAGCATTACCTAGATGTGATAAACCTTAAGAACTTTTATAATCCTACAAGTAAATCCAACTGAACAGCTTCCTCATTCTCTCATCTATCAAATACCAGGATGCCCAGGAATCCACCAACTCACTGAAGGCAGACCCCTGAGAGTTACCTTAGATTTCTCTCTCCTGCCCTCAAACTCACATGCAATCATGAAGTCCTATATTTTCTGCCTCCCTAAAATCACTGTAAATTCAAATCCTTGACCATGCTCCCAGTGGGATTCCTAAAACAGAACCACAGATGCATTCCTATGGTACACAATCATTTGTTCAACAGCTGTGTGTTAATATTATTACAATTTTATTTGAGATATAGTGGCCTCCCTTGGATCCCTGAGCATCAAAAAGCACAAAAGCCAGCCTGGTTCATAGCTGTGGCAGACATTACTAATCCATTCCTTGAGATCTGTTTTCCTTTCCCTCCAAAATAATAGAAACCCTGACTTTTAACTGTGCACTTAGCCTCTTAGAATAAATTTCTCAACCACCTTTGTGGCTACATATGGCCATGTGACTAAGTTTTGGCAAATGAGACACAAGTAGAAGTGTGACTAATTTCCTGGAAGAGTCCTTATAAGAAAGTATGGTCTTTTTCCCTTTCTTCCTTACTACTGACTAGAATACAGATGTACTAGCTGCATCTTGGAAGATCAACAATATACAAAGAGCCAGAGTTCCTGATTATCATAAGGTTGCCATACCAGCTTTGCATTGTGTGAATTTACAGAGAGAAATAAACTTCTGTCTCCTTTAAGTCACTGTTATTTTGAGAATCATACATTCAGAGACAACTTCATTCTACCAAATACAACAGCATCTTTTTAAAGTTTTGTTGTCATCACGATGCCTGTGGTCATGAAGTGAGTAGGTAATTTGAAGACCTAAGCCAAATGTCAGCAACCCTTTCTAAAAAGGGATAAAGGTGCCTGACTGTCTCAGTCAGAAGAGCATGAGACTCTTGATCTTGGAGTCATAAGTTCAAACCCCACATTAGGTGTAGGGATCACTGAAAAATAAAATCTTTAAAAAAATACACAGTTGATGTCTTAAACATAGAGGAAAAAACTGGTGGTTCCCAGGGGGAGATGGGGAAGGGATGGATGAAATAGGTGAAAGAGATTAAGAGTACACTTATGATGAGCACTGAGTATATGTATAGAATTGTTGAATCATTATATTGTACACCTGAAGCTAATATAAAATTTATGTTAATTATTCTGGAATTAAAAATTTTTTAAAGCATGCAGTAAGCCAGATATAGCTTATGGACCACAGTTTGTTGGCCCTTAAACTAACCTTAATGGTATATTTGAAAGTGCTATGT